TAACCAACATCCAGAAAGTCCATAAAGAACATGAAAGGCCATGGTTTGTTTTTCTTTGACGTGAGTATGAGTGTACAAGCTGATCCAGTGCATTAACTCCAGCTTTTGTGGAATTGTAATGAAGTATTATTTTCGGTTTACTACCTCGGACTTCCTTGCAAGTATCTGTGTGGTGCATTGTAGAAAGAACAATTGCTTTGTTTTTCTTCAAAATGTACAATATCAGAAGATTCCTTTGACTATTGTGGGTCGGGAATTGTCAAGGAATGAATCTCTTGTTTACGTCTTGTCCTTGAAGTAATTTTCACACATCACATTCCTTTGAGTTCTTTGATAAGGTTTGGTAAAGAGTTTGAACTACATTGCCACTCAAATCTGGAAATGCCCTTTCACTCTTATCCTTCCCCGAATATAGCAAACCATTTAGAGGGCAGGAAATAGTTGCATCACACCATACTTGCCTAGTTTTAATGGTATGTACCATTTGAATGGAACATTTGCCCTGAAACGGAATTAGCATTTCAACGATAATATGTCTTTACAAGTTGCATAATGCTTTTTCAAATTTCCACACGTCCATCAAAGCAGAAAATTTATCATTCCAACACCTTACAGATTGTGTGATCAACATCAAATCGTAGAGAAGAAAGTATGCTCTTAAAAACATTTGAGTCCCATTGTTGCTCTAAATATAGGTAGGTCATAAAAACTATTCCACAACACTGAACATATCTCCACCATGTCTCCAACAATGGAGCTGACGCTTTCCTACATATCTCAGAGTTGTGACAAAATGGAAATCACCCAGAGTTCTCTCAAACTGAAAGAACACATTAGTCGGCACAACAATGCAAGCATCCAGTTTTTGACAACCAACAGACATACTAATAACGTTAATAAACAAAAAAAAAGTTATTTTGATTGTTGTGTCAATATGAAAATCACAAACCGTCATCTCTTACCGAAAAACATAATAGTGTCCTCCGGACACTACTTGCCCGTTTACATTATTTGAAAACAAAATTAATATTTTCAGTATTGTTTACAGATCAAAATTAGTGAAACTTAGTAAGTAAATGCTCAAATATATAAGAAGCAAAGTCACAAAGGCGCACATACAGGATACTTTATATGACAGAAAATATAACCCACAGTGTCTGACAGAGACTGGTTGCCCAAATAAGGGTTAATTTTATCATTTCTTTATTTTATTTTTAAAAAATTCTTTAAAATGAATTAATTTCAGTTTGGTTTGTTTTTGGTTCTATAAACAATAAAGTCTGACTGGTGGTTTGAGCTTTATTTAGTACTGCCAATTTCTTTGGAAGTATCAACAGTAGGCATTCAACATTTGAGGTGTAAATACAATACCTAAAAGTTTTATTCCAAAATTACAACATGAAAAATGTATTTCTTAATCTTTAACTTTCCCTCCACCAAAGCAACCTTTTAATCAGGAAAAATTACATACATTACATTTAACAACATTGCTGATTTAGCAAAGTTACCTAAAACCAAGCTTTTGTACCAGAAAATAAATACATTAATTACTTATAATTTCAATTACCTTTGCTAATTTAGCTAGAGGACAGCGAGGAACAGGCACAGGTACACGACATGACTCTCCACCCTCCATCAATACACTTTTGCCAGGGGCATACTGCAGCTCCATTTCCACAGAACTGGCATTAGCTGCATCCAGTACAAGGTAGAATTGGGAACTCCTGAAGATATTTTACAATGATAAGAGGCAGAGAAAGCTCACTTTCATTTTGTGAAGGGAGAAAAGGAAAGGATGAAATAAGACAAATCTCAAAAAACAAATGAAATTAGTTCTAATGTAGCACAGTATTTTTTCTTAGCAATGTTAAGAATGTGCAA